GTTCAGAAGCATTATTCGGGAGTGTTGTAATCTGTTGTAACCTGCTTATTTGCTAATCAGAGCACAGTTAGACTCTTCCAGAAACATTATAATATGTTGTCACCTTCTGATATATAGCTCATGGCATATAAAAAGCTCAATCTACATGTCTAGAATGCATTGTGCCAAAATGCCATCAATTGAGGCAGGACCTGGAAATGTCAAATCTTGAAATAAAGATAAAAATGACTTGGATCAGAACTAAGAAGATGCTTTATTTGTAAAGAAGTTATGACCGTATATGAGTTTTCACTTGTTTATAAATAAGTAACAGGTATCCTTTCTACTAACCTGAATAATGGCTACAGAATTCTTTGAATTGCAGAGGCTGCTCATGGTAGCATATCCTATAGTATCTTCACTGAAGTCAATGCCCCTATAAGAAAGAAGGGGAGATCTTCATTATCAGAATGAGGAGGAAAAAAACCCATTAAAATAATATTATGAGAAACTGTATAATAAGGAGAACATTCTGGAAAATAGCATACAACAATATTTGGAACAATCTGAACTCTCCAAAGTACCAGACACAAGATATGTTGAATGAATGAATAGCCATGAAGGAATTGACAGAAGAATAATTAAAAGACAAAAGAAAAATAAAACATCAGGGCCTGATGGGCTACTGGCAGAATTTTAAACAACTAGAAGAGGCACTAAGCCCAGTGATGTTGGAAGTATATAATGAAGTACTGCTAGAAGCAGAAATACCAAACTTATGGATGGAAGCAAACAGCATTCTCATACTTAATGATGATTCAGATTTAATGCAGATAAAAAATTATAGGCCAATATCTTTACTGAATGTGGACTATAAAACATATGCTTAGATAATAGCAGAGAGAATTAAAAATGTATATTAATTCATACATTTAGGCCAGAATGGATTTCTGCCAAAGGGACAGATTAAAAACAATATGAGAATGATTTTAAACACACATTGGAGTATTATGAAATGCACCCTGGAAAACAAATGGCATTGATGCTTCTAGATTTGCAGAAAGTATTTGACAATGTTAATTGGCAATTTATGTTATTACAACTGAAATATATGGACTTTGGGGAAAGTTTTATTAATATTATTAAAGTAATATATAATAAACAATCAACTAAGGTGATGATAAACGGGGACACAACAGAGAACTTTGATATTATAAAAGGCACTAGACAGGGATGTCCACTGTTGCCGCTGCTATTTATACTGACTTTGGAAGTGTT